CGCTCTTTTTCCTGCGGGGTTCCATAGGTGCTCCTTGCATTACCATCTATATCCCCGCTCATTCTCGATTCATCATTTACTGCTCTTGCTCTATCTATACAGCCATTTTATGGAAGGAAGGAATCTATCTCTTTTCTCCACAGTCAGAGCCTGATTTATGTATCGCGTCTCTAGTTCTCCGTCTCCCTCTTCTTCTGGCTTCATCCCTGTAACAAAATCAGAGACGCGATTCATAATTCATTTTTCATTATCATGCATATCCTCGGTGCATTACTCGTTAGGGTAGCGCGTTGATGCTAATAAAGCAGTATTTAGGCGGCTGGGGATGCCGGGGACTTCGGCTGGATGTGGGCTTGCAATGGTGGGAGAGAATGTACGCAAAGCCCTTAAAATGCCGTCATAATTCTGGAGACATTTTGCAAGGACTTTGAGTGACATGTAATAGTTTGTTTTAGGTTTACTTGAGTCGTTTCTGTGGGAATGCATGCATTATATACGGGAGATGCGATGTTTCTCTCCTATAAGGATGAAATAAATGATGAACAAGATGATGACAACTCCCCCCTCCCAGTATATTAAGTAAAATAAACATAGAGAAAGTAGGAAGAAGTATATAGACAATACAAGACCAAAATGAAAATAGAGGTGGTAGTAACAGTAGTAGTAGTAGTAGTAGTAATACTATAAGTATAGTATACGTGTAATTAGAAGAAGCAGTAGCAGTATTTATAACAGAATCATTAGCAGTATGGTAGTAGTAGTAGTAGTAGACGAAGTAGTAGTAGTAGTAGTAGTAGTAGTAGTAGTAGTAGTAGTAGTAATAGTAGTAGTAGTAGTAGCAGTAGTAGTAGTAGTAGTAGTAGTAGTAGTAGTAGTAGTAGTAGTTATAGTAGTAGTAGAAGAAGTAGAAATACAGAAGAAAGAGTGAGAGCGGTAGGGAACTAAAAAGTCCATTAATAGACTATTACAGAAGAGAAAGAGGAGATAATGTAATAATGTATGCCTGTGTGTGTGTGTATGGGTGTGTGTGTTTGTATGAGGGGAGAGAGAGAGAGAGAGGGGGGAGAGAGAAAGACAGAGAGAGAGAAGGAGAGAGAGAAGGAGAAAGAGAAGGAGAGAGAGAGAGAGTGCACATAAAAAAGTGAATTATTCGAATAGATTTATACATTCTCTCTTTTTCTTTCGAAATGTATTAATTTCCAAGAGAGTTGCCAATGCTATTGTAAACGTTATTTCCTATTTTATATATAATTATATGAAAATATGTATTCATATGGACGACAGAGCGAGTGTGCAAAGAGAAAACGGGAGAAAAAACTGGAAGGGATATGGGGATTGGGTGAAGAGTGCCGGGATCAAAAAGACATAAGAGTGGGATTTCGCTTTCATTTTGTAATCAGGCAGCGGAGACCATTTGCATATTTAGGGGATTACATGACAGGTTTCATAACTCTAATCAGGTGAGGAGATTAAACAGGAAAAACCCTTAATGATCATTAGCATAACTTGGAAAAATAAAAAGGAAAAAATATAATGTCTTTGCCGCCGTTTTTTTTTTATCTTGTCGAAGATTTGTGTTCACGGTTTTCATACGAAATTCATAATCGCTTTTTGTCTTATGAACTGTCCTGCCATTTTTCGGGAATATGATGGTTTGGGTAGATTATGATTCTCTTTCCTAGCTCATTAGGACATCCATCATCGAAACTAAGGAAAGATATGTTATTAGAGGCAACTATCATTATTGATGACATGGTGCTCTGTCTTCCTAACTATATTATTCGTCTCCTCAACCTATGGAATTGCACCGCGTCTTTCTCCTTAAGCTTAATCATGTCATGATTCATCATAGTTTTTGTAATCACCCTCTTCAAGACACCGTTATATCAATCATTCCCATCTTCAGGAACTCAAAAACTGTTTTCAGAAATGACAACCGAGTTGCAGGTGACTTCATGGACATTATTCACGCTCCTTCTTTTTTTGGTGGTTGTTGTGTTTTATTTTATTCTGCTTTTCGTTGCTTTCCCAATTCAACATTAGGTGAGCTGCTGCTTCTCTTCGAAAACATCCATGTATTTAAAGAATAATTAGGATAACATCTTTTAAAACCCGGTTTTTAAATCTAAACTATCTTGGAAGATATGATTCCTTCTCAATTGCCCAAGTTAATGAACACGTTTGCTCTTTGAAGACGGTTTGGTAAAAATCTAAGATATGCCGAAGAATATACTTTATCTTGTTGTTATTAAGTAGTATTGTTGTATTATCTCTGAGAAATAAGAGCTTGGTATTAATAGTCATCATCATCACCATCATCATAGTCATTATAATCAACATCATCATACTCATCACCACCACCATCACCATAATCATCAGCATTTTACCATCATCATCATTATCATAATCATAACCATCATCATAATCATCACCATCGTCTTCATCCTTTTCTTGTCATCATCGTCAACATCATTATCACTTTCGTCAGTATCATCATTAT